TAATTTTCTAGTCTGCTGATGTTTCGTTTAGAATCTCAAATGCAATAAAATCCAACGTGGCTTCAAGGACGAAGGAAGTTTTGCCGAATTATTATTTACATAAAATATTATGTCATTGTGGCTGATGTTGATCAAATTTACTTATTTATATTACTGATCTGAAAATATATTGAATCAGTTACGAAAATGTACTCAAAATATGAAAATATATTTACTATAATATTGTTCTTCGATGTTTTATCGAAGTGATTATCTGAGGGACAGTTTGTAGTAGACGTTGCAAACTTTTGTGCACAGAAAAGAAGAAAGAGTTTAAGAAAGTGAGCTTATCACGACGAACTGTGTTGTTCGGTGTATAGATGAGATGGCTAGTGATATCAAAAAAACATTGACTGATACATTAGCTGGTTTTCAAGCATTTTCGATTGCTGGATGAGCTTACAAATTTATCTGACATATCCCAGTTAACTATTTTTATACGAGGTGTTGATGAAGAAGTTGCAAAGTACGTTTGAGCAATATGGTTTACAGTGGTGTAAATTAGTTAGAGTATACACGGATTGTGCGCCTTTAAAGGGCGGTTCACGAAAAGATTTTATCGGAATTCTGAAGAAAAGAGCAACCCCCTATGAATATGCAACAATGTGATTAAATAATTCTGCATTGCATTATTCACCAACAAAACTTGTGCTCTAAGTCCATTAGATTGAAGAATGTTATGGTTGTGGTAGTAAATACCATTAATTTCATTAGATCCCGCGGTCTTAACCATCGCCAGTTTACTTTCTTCGGAACACGATGATGTGACATCTGGTTAGGTTAGGTTGAAAATGAGTGGGATGATCTCATCGCCTTTCACTAAGACCCATATGGGTCTATTGTGGCTCATAATTAACTTATAGTTCACCGTACAAGCCACACCTTTTGATGAAGGCCATAATTGAATTGGGTGAGACTTGTCGGTAGGGTCCAGACGGGTAAATCCGAAGATTTGGAATCTGGTTCTTTCCAGAGCGGAGCAGGTACATAAAATGTGCTCTGCAGATTGATCTTCCACGCTGCAAAATCGGCAGTCCCATGTTTGATACAGACCTATCCTTCTCATGTGGTTGCCCAGGCGGTAGTGTCCTATCATCAGTCCCGTGAAAATGCGTAGATCTTTCGTACTCCATTCTCGGATATGAGCAGGGCCATTCATAGAAGGGTTGGTTATAGATGCCTTCGAATGAGTCCTGGGGTATCTCTCCAGTTCGTGAGTGTTGCACCCTCCGTCCATTTGTCCTTTGGCAGTGCTCTTTGCAATGCCCAGGAATGGTTCTGGTCCTCTGAACAAGATTCGGTTCCTCTTTTAGCAAGCGCGTCGGCTCAGGGCGTTGTGGGCTGCCTGGCTATCTGAAAAGATCTTTCTAGTCTTGTTTGCGGGGTGAAAATTAATCAACTCTCTCGCTTCCAATTCTATAGCAATCATTTATGCTTGAAATATTGTTGCCAGAGAGCCTAGATATATTGATATGTCAACTCTAGGCCTCTCGCCGAAAACTCCTGCTTCTACTCCTTTTTCAGTTTTGAAGCCGTCCGTGTACAACGCATAGTCTGCCTAGGAGAGGATTTTTTCCCCTCTGCTCCATGCGTCTCTTTTTGGAATGAGCCCTGTCTTGTCCTATCGCACTTCTTCGTAATATTGAGTAGCCCACCTTTAGGAGTATGTAGGAGACCATCCTGCCTCCCTTTCCAGCAGAATGTGGAGAGGGATTAGGTGCAGCATGGTCTCCATGGGTCCCGTAGGTGTGGTTGACATTGCTTCAGTGATGGCGAGGCACGCAAGCCGCTGTATTCCAGCCAGCTTTGCTCTGGCCGTCCGTAGAAGTACCTTGTCCCACCAGGCGACAGAGCCGTACGTAACCATGGGTTTGACCACTGTTTGGTAAATTCAGTAGATCAGTTGAGGACTGATCCACTATGCTTTGCCGCATATCCTTCTAAGAGTCCAGAGGGATAGTCTGGCTTTGTTATTGGTTTTATCCAACTGGGGGTTCTAGGTGAGTTTCTTATCTAGGGTGATCCCCAGATATTTCACATCTTTCGCAAAAGGAATGGTTTCCCCAGCTAAGGTAGGTTGTCGAAGCTTGTTAAGCTTTCTTTTCTTGGTGTAGATAACAGCTTTGCTGGGGTTAACAGACATCTGATCCCTCTCGCACCATCTATTGATCGTATTAAGGGCTTGTTAAAGGATGTTGGAGATCACCTCTTCGAACTTTCCCCTAATTCTGATAACCAGATCGTCTGCATAGCATTGGAAATCCACCCACTGCCGGGAGAGATCGTCTAGCAGGTTATCCACCAGAATAGTCCAGAGTAGGGGTGAAAGTACGTCGCCTTGTGGACATCCTTTGGCAGGCCTGAAAGTGACCGTCTCTCCCTGCAGTGATGAAGTGATATTCCAGTTTGCCAGCATGCTTTTGATCCAATTACAAGTTAGTTTGTCGATTCCTCTTCTTTCAATAGAAGCGAACAAAGACAGGAAGGGCGTTGTTGAACGTGCCTTCTATATCTAAAGGGTGGTCCAACCAAAACGCACGATGTCAATTGTAAATAAAAGAAAAAGTTTTCAGAGAATTATCCTAATATTTTTTATAATGATAGAAGGATATATGACAATTATGTGTGAAACAAAATATCGGCCAAATGCTCGCCACGGCTTCGGTGGCATCCTTCTATCCGGTGGTCCATATTTTCAATGACTCTGAGACATAATTGACGTTCAATGTCGTTATTGTGCCGAATTATCTCATTCTTTAGCTCTTGAATTATTCTTGGCTTATTGACGTATACTTTTTCTTTTAAGTATCCCCAAAGAAAGAAGTCGAACAGTGTCAAATCACATGATCGTGGTGGCCAATAAACATCGCCACGACGTGAGATAACACTGTCGTTGAATTTCTCGCGCAAAAGAGCCATTGTTTCGTTGGCTGTATGGCAAGTGGCACCATCTTGTTGGAACCACATATTGTCCAGGTCCATATCCTCAATTTCTGGCCACAAGAAGTCCGTTATCCCATTTGGTCGATTATGCTAACCAAAAAACACGAAGTGTGCGAAATGCATTTTGATTTGAATGCCCATTTTCACAAAAGGCTTCAACAATCTTAACGCACTGCTCAATTGTGTACCTCTCCATGGTTGAATTTGTCAAACACTTAAACAAAGAAATGTCAAATTAAGTTGGGCAAAAAACTTAACGTTAAGGTGTGACGCACAATTAACATCGTGCATTATAGTTGGACCACCCTTTAGGAGGGCACCTAGCGCAATCTCCCCGTGATTTAAGGAATAACCGATTTTGCCTACTAGATTGTACAGGGCATGGACTGTCGATTTGCCTGCTTGGTAGGCATATTGGGAGGAGTTTAACGGACTTGCCCGAAGGCCTCCTTCTCTATAATGCCTATCTAGAATGTTCTCTAGTGTTTTTAGAAGAAAGAATGTTAGGCAGATTGGACGATAAGAGTTAAGTGTGGAGGTATTTACTCTACCAGCCTTGTGTATATGTACGACTTTCGCCATCGTCCATCCTAGCGGGATATAGCTCCACGCCAGGCTTCTTCTAAACAGCCTCACAAGGAGGGGTAACAGGAGTTCATGTCCTTTTTGCAGAAGGGCAGGAAAAATGCCATCCTCTCCGGGTGATTTAATTAATTAATCGCCCATTTCACGGCGTTTGGAGAGACAATTTTTGCAACATAGTTCCAGTCCTCCTTTGTGGGTCGTATGATCGATTCCCTTAAAGGAAGTGGTACATGTTGACTGTCCTCCAGGACTCGACTGACAAAGTCCGTATAGGTGTTGTCGGGTCCTTTTATCGAGCCGACTTCCTGTTTCGGATCTTTGGAGAGAATCTTGTGAAGTCTGGTACTGGCAGGTAAATCTGATATACTCTGATAGAACTTCCTCCACGATTATCGTTGGGCCTTTCTGATAGCCTTGCTGTACTCCGTTAGGAATTTGCGGTATTTTTCCCAGCAGCTAAATTCTTTAGCTGGATTGAACAGATGTCGAACTTCTTTTCTTTTTGGTCGATGTTTCTGCTCCACCATGAAGTTCCCCTCAGGTCTCTTCTCTCCTTTAGTGGGCAGTTGTCCTGATAGGTAGTAATAAGGGCATTTTGAATTTGATCATTCGCCACTTTAATCTCTACGCTATTCTTAATGTGACTTTTTTTTAATTTGGTGTCATCGGCATCGACTACTAAGGCCTCGTGTTCTATGTAGGCTTTGTTACTGTTGCCCAACGCCACTTTAGGAACAGTACTGTTAATTAGAACCCAACAGTGAATGGTTGAGTGGGAAATACTACCAAGGTATCAGAATCAATTTTAAATAATTAAATTAAATTAAAAAATCCCGGCCAACGGCGGGATTCGAACCTGGGACCCTTGGATCAACAGGCAGAGACTCTACCACTGAGCCACCCATCCCTTGACATATTATTGCGAAGCAAAGGTAAAATGCTAAAAAGATTTTAAGGCCTCAGAAAATAAATAGCTGATTTTATGGAAATAAAAGATTGCTGCGAATTTGTGACTTAGCATTCCTGGTAGATATCATAGGACACTTAAACGACCTGAACTTAAAGCTTCAAAAACAAGGGAAATCGGTAAATCAGCTATACAGAATCGTATAGCTTTTCAAAACAAAATTCGCTTGTGGGACACACAAATGAAAAATAAAAACTGTTTTCATTTTTCAACATTATCCAGCCACGAAAACATTGAATACGGTCGTTATGCTGAAGAATTGAAACTACTATCCGAGCAATTTACTGATCGATTTTCCGAATTTAATAATATGGATAGCACTTTTATTATTTTTGCAAATCATTGTAACTGTAATGTGGAAGATGCTCCGCTTCACCTACAAATCGAGTTGATCGAACTTCAAGAAGACTCATATTTGAAGTCTAAATTTGATAATGTATAACTAAGCGAATTTTACAGAACATACCTTTCCAAAGAAAAGTAACCACAGCTGAGTGTTTTCGCACGAAAAATAATTTGCACATTAGGAACCCTAAACTTGAACCGTTTCATTTTCTTGACCCACCCTGTACATATGGGATATATTTTGAGTTACATTTGTCTCATCTTTAGAAAAAGTCATGATATTGTCCATACAGCTATAGAAACATTCACGTAGTATTTTTATTTACATATTTTCAATTTATGTTTTAATGTTTCGTTACGAATTTTTTTATGTAAAAAATTGAATATTTGAGCTTTATTTATTCTTCCAATGCCAAAATATTTGATACAAAGTTTCACTGAAGGCTATATACGTGGCCTGTTCTGAAAAATAGGTATATGAGTGACATGGCGATCAATGTGTTAAACATTTCACACCACCTAGATTTGAATTCTTACATTTTTAATCGCTAAGTCTGATTTTCCTCTACCCAAATAATCGATTCGTAAATTCTAAATCGAGAAATTTTTTCGAACCTATCCATGTATAAAAAATTAATAAGCAAGGAACGCGTCCCTACCCATTAAACACCAACCAACCAACCAACCAACCAGAATTATGTAATCGCTGCAGCCAGAAATAGCCTACTTAAAAAAATGTGCCAACAAAAACAATCAAGGTTGTCATTGCACAAAATGTTTAAAACTGTAGGCGAAAATTTCAAGGTCAGTAGATAATTAGCACAAGATATACGAATTCTGTTGGCAAAGGTCAGTTTGTTGCCAAATTTATTCGGTGTTTCAGTGGTCAAAGATAGTGTAAAATGTTCATTGAAACATCGACAGAACGTAAATTACTGTATTAACGATAAACCAATATTTGACTTGGCTCAAACAGCGAGAATGTTAATAAAAACAAAGAAAGGATACATTTTGTATTAGCTGAATGTATTATTTTAATTTTGGCTATAGTTAAATAACGAAATAATAGACAGTAATTTAATGTGTAAAGAAAGCTGACACATGTCATTGCGCCAAAGTTGAAGAACTTTTTGGAGGTTAAGGGATTTTTTCAGTGTACAGTGGAGGGCATATATTGTAATTAAATATGGCGTCTCTGTCAGCATTGTCCACACATTATTGGCATTAAATAATTATTTCGGTTTTCAACTATTATACATTTTAAAGGATAATGAGGTCTATAGTACTATAGCGATATGGAAATCGGGGTGGGTTTACTTATCTAAAATATGATATACATACATTAAATAAAAATCTAATGTGTCGAACACATGACTTTCCTATCTAGTTATTACAGGCTTTTTTCGGTTATTTTGTACAACCTATTGTAGCACCTCTCTAAATATTTAGAGGTTAACCTAATATATACATTTTCGACATACATCTAACTTAAAACATTTTTCTATATACACTCATTGGCAAAATTTAAATTTTATACAATTTTTCCGTTATGGTCCATTTTAGAGAAATCATGTAAAAAAACAAAAATTATAGATATCGATATCGCAAACATCTTTTAGTTCAACAATTTTCTTAAAAATCAAAATTTTTTACATTTGTTTGAAAAAGTTCTCGAATATAAACACGACCCTCTATAAAGTACCCCTCTAGATGTTCCGACTTAAATACACATATACACACAACACACACAATACACACAACACACACCCAACACACACCCAACACACACAACACACACAACAAACACAACACACACAACACACACAACACACACAACACAACACAACACACACACACACACACCCACACACACACACACACACACACACACACACACACACACACACACACACACACACACACACACACACAGACACACACACACACACACATACACACACACACACACACACACACACATACACACACACACGTACACATACACACACACACACACACACACACACACATACACACACACACACACACAAACACACAAACACACAAACACATAAACACACAAACACACAAACACACAAACACACAAACACACAAACACACAAACACATACATTGCTTATGAACAATGCCGCCGAACCATGGGACGCATCTGGGGTTTCTCCCTCAGAGTCATCGCATGGACTTACACGGCTATCATAAGATCTATGCTAACATACGGTGCAGTTGTCTGGGTACCGAAAACCCAAAAATTAACAGCTATCCGTAAACTAGAACAAATTCAAAGAACAGCATGTCTCAACATAACAGGAGCCAGAAGTGACAGGTACGATTCATATCTACACCGACGGTTCTAAAACAAAACAAAGCTCAGGATGTGGAATATACTCCAGATTCTTAAACCTAAACATAAAATGGGCTGTGAGCAATAGTGCCAGTGTAGTTCAAACAGAGCTAACGGGGATTCTCATAGCAGCAAAAGAAATAACCAGAAACAATATCAGTGAAAGGAACATGTTCATCTATACAGATAGTAGACAAGCACTTCTCACCCTAAACAGACCACGAATTTATTCAGGGTTAGTACTAGAATGTCAGGAAGCTTTGGCCGAAGTATCCATCAACAATGTGGTCACCTTAAGATGAATGAAAGGTCACCCACATCGAAAGATAACCGTCTTGCTGATTCACTAGCCAAGAAAGCAGCCAACCAAATACTTTTTGGACCTGGCCCTCATATCAGCCTGACAAAATCGGTATTGACAGACCTAATTAAAGAACATGCCCTTGTTAAATTCAAGGAAAGATGGGATGAAACAAGTCAAAACAAATATCATAAAGTAATATGTGATTACAATTCATTACATAAAATATTATCACAGGAAAATTGGGTAGATATGTATTCCTCCATAGATGTTAATGAAATGACAGATATGTTTATTACTAAATTAAAATATTATGTAAACTCAAGCAGCCGGGTAATAAAGATTAACCGTTCTCATTTCAAACGTAGTCCTTGAATTACACAAGGTTTAGTAAAATCTATTAATATTAAGAATTCTTTATATAAAACAGTTAAACAACAACCAAACAATACACAAACCTTAAAAGAATTCAAAATATACAGAAACCAACTAAATGATCTGATAAAAATTGCCAAAACTGACTACTACAAAAATGAAATTATTAAAAATAAGAATTCCTCAAAACATATGTGGCAAGTTGTAAAAAATATTAAAAATCATGATAAAACACAGGAGATATGTGAAATAAAACAGAACTACATAAATATAACAAACAAAACAGAAATTGCAAATGTGTTTAACAGATATTTTACAGAGGTAGGTAGCATTCTTGCAAAAAAAATTAAAAAGTCATCTAGGAAATTCAATGAAAGAAGACTAGCTAACTCCATATACTTAGAACCTGTGGAAGAACAGGAGGTGGTTAAAATTATAAAAGATTTAAAACCAAACAAAGCGCCTGGACTAGACCTAATTCCTTCTGAGGTTTATAAAAGATGTGTACATTATTTAAAACATCCACTGACTTTTATATCAAATAAAATTTTTACTACTGGAATATTTCCTAATTCTCTAAAAATGCAGTTATAAAACCACTTTATAAAGCTGGGGATAAGATAGAAATGTCAAACTACAGACCCATATCGATCCTGTCCAGTATGAGTAAAATAATAGAAAAATTAATTAAATTCAGATTGTGTAATTTTATCAACAAATACAAATTATTATCTTCTAAACAATATGGGTTTGTGGAGGGGAGGTCTACCGAAGATGCAATTGCTGACATAACATTAAAAATATACAAATCTATAGACACAAAAATGCCTGCAATTTGTATCTTTGTAGATCTCGCCAAAGCATTTGACACGGTGAGTCATCCAGATTTATTAGAAACATTAAATACCTTAGGCATCAGAGGAGTAGCCTATCAACTACTAAAGAGCTACCTAACTGATCGAGAACAGTATGTCAGTATTGGCGACTCTATGAGTGATAAGCAAACAATACAATTTGGCATTCCCCAAGGTACCGTTCTTGGTCCTATTATGTTTAATATATATATATTAACGCCCTTTTTGAACTACCTATACCCGCAGAAATCATAGGTTTCGCCGACGACACGGCCATTTACTACCAAGATACTAATTGGAATACCCTAAAGTAAAAAATAATTAACTCCCTACCCATTGTTTTAGATTTTTTTCGTAACAAATTGTTAACAATTAATTTTAATAAAACAACATTTCTTCCATTTACTAGTTACGATTCAAATTTACCTGAATATGATTCAATTAATATAAATTACAACAATGAAAATGTTTGTATAAAAATGTCAAAAACAACTAAATACTTGGGAATTATAATAGATTGTAATTTAAAGTGGAATGCACACATTAGTAGTGTTATAAAGAAAATTAGATTCCATTTAGCAAAATTTAAATTTTTAAAATGTTTTTTGGATATCCCCCACTTAAAGATGCTCTATTATGCATTAATACAGACTCATCTAACCTATGGTATTATCGCTTGGGGAGGTGCGGCAGATATCCATATTAAACATTTACAAATAATACAAAAATGGATTTTAAAGATTATTTATAATAAAAACTATACTTACCCAACAGAACGTTTATTTGTAGAAGCAGAAGTTTTGGATTTGAGACAACTTTTTTACCTACGTGTAGCAATATTTCAGAAGAAGCATATTTTCCTTAGCACTCCGATACAACATTTATACCCAACGCGTTATAAAAATCATGTGATCACCGTACCTAGAATGGAAAAGACTCTAGGGCAAAGAAGTTTTGTATATCTCGGTCCTAAAATATTTAACGCACTTCCGGTGGAATTTAAAAACCTAAATTCTATAGCTCTTTATAGGTCTAAATTACAACAATGGATATTAACTAAGCAACGACAAAAATGACTTTATTAATTTAAATATAACTAAAATCTAAAAAGAACTTACCTGCAATTATCCAATTATTTATGTATACAATAATTATTTATAAACTATTCAATGCTGTAGCTAATTTGTCTCTATAATAAATAAAAGAAAAAATAGTAAAAAAAAGAAATGCTATGTAGAATATAATTCTCAAAGTATCCCACGCACAAGGTTCGCCTTTAGTGGAACCA